GTTAACCAATATCATAAAACAACATGTGTACTTCTGTTTCATGAGAAACTATTTGTTCTGTAAGCCTTCACCTGAAGTACAATAAATAAATAAATAAATAGATAAATTCAATCTGTATGTTGAGCAAATAATTCAAGAAGCTGGACTACATGAAGAAGAAGGCAGTATCAGGATTGGAGGAAGACTCATTAGCAACTTGCAACATGCATATGACACAACCTCGCTGGCTGAAAGCAAAGAGGACTTGAAGCACTTACTGATGAAGATCAAAGACTTCAGAATGAACTACACCTCAACAAAAAGAAAACAAATATCCTCACAACTGGACCAATAAGCAACATCATGATAAACGAAGAAAAGATTGAAGTTGTCAAGGATTTCATTTTACTCGAATCCACAATCAACACGCATGGAAGCAGTAGTCAAGAAATCAAACGATATATTGCATTGGGGCAAATCTGCTGCAAAAGACCTCTGTAAAGTGTTTAAAAGCAAAGATGTCACTTTGAGGACGAAGGTGCACCTGACCCAAGCCATGGCATTTTCAATTGCCTCATATGCATGAGAAAGCTGGACAATCAATAAGGAAGACTGAAGAAGAATTGATGCCTTTGAATTATGGTTTCAGTGAAGAATATTAACTATATCATGGACTTCCAGAAGAATGAACAAGTCAGTCTTGGACGATATACAGCCAGGATGATTTTTAGAAGTGAGGATGGCGAGACTTTGTCTCAAGTGCTTTGGATATGTTATCAGGAAGGACTAGTCCTTGGAGAAAGACATCATGCTGGGTATAGTAGACGGTCATCGAAAAAGAGCAAGGCCCTTGACGAGACGGAATGACACAGTGGCTGCAATAGAGGTCTCAATCATAGCAATGATCGTGAGAATGGTGCAGGACTTGGCAGTGTTTCATTCGGACGTTCATAGGGTTGCTATGATTCAGTGGCGCCTAACAACAAGTGTAAAGAAAACGGTTTACCTTTGTGTACACTGGAGTTGCCTAAATTTACTTAACCACGGAACTCTTGTAAAAGGTAATACCTACTTTATCCTCATTTCCTTGTTCATGCAATGGGCAAAAATACGTTCTATGATATGGAGCTATTGTCAGAAATGAATGATACAGATATGTAAAGTGCATAGCACAGTGGTTAGTATATTCCAGGTGTTTGGTAGGTGCTAGTTCCTTTTCTTAGATTTATAGTTATTGAAAATAGTGATTTGTATTATTGAAAAAACAATATAAATGTATTATCATAATTAAATAAAACATGCAAAAGTGAAAAATTCACATCACAAAAGGGACATAGAATGAAAAGTGAGTTTCTCTCTCTTCATGTCCCCTAAGAGGGGTTTTATGTACCTTTTCAGACAATTTCTGTGCACTCACTTTCAGTGAACATATTTCTTCTGTACTTCTGCAGCATTGCCTCTAACTTCTTCCGTTTTATGGTCGATCAATATATTCTTCTGAAAGCCCAGGCGGCGTAAAAGTCAGACGAAGCCTAGGCTCATGTCTCCCAAAAGCTCTACTTTTATGAAGTGAGTGCTATAGAGAATTGGGGGAAAAATACATAGTTGTTTGGGGGTTGTTTAAATAGGTTTTAAATAAATCTTTAAAAAGGCTTTAAGTGTAAAATCTTTCTTTTGTAAGCCTTTTTTAAATACTCTAGGAGGCATTAATGGCCAACTGCTCTGTAGTAATTAAATTTGTTTATTCTTCATAACAGTTCCTAGGTCTCTTACAGGTATCTCATCCCTGAAAGAATATGAATGCTTGGAGGACCTCATTTGTGACTTGTAAAAATCCTGACATATCAAAGGCATTGAGTACGAGTCTGATGAATTGAGAGAGGATTCAGTGTAGACCACAGCATTTGTTCTCTCTACCAGGAACAGAACTCTGATTTGGAGATGGAATATTCATTCTTTCTTTCTTTCAGCTGAGGATAAGGAAGGGATGGTGAAGAAGACAGGACTTTGGGCGGGAGAAAGTCCGAGCTGCAGCTGTAGCGAGACTCAGAGAGGTGGCAATGCTGGGCTTCAGTGCTTTTCAAAATTCACTTCGTGGCAGTAATGCCTGTTCACCAACTGCAGCTGTCAAGATGTGGGCTCCTTAAAGAGGTGCAAACTGTTCAATGTCTCACTGACAACCTAATTCATTTCCCTAAGATGTTTGTGTGGCCTGAAGCATTTGCTGGTCTACCTCGGCTGGACCTTCCTAACGCAACAGCACAGGAACCTGAGCCATGTGTGACCACCAGGCTCCACTGCTTTCCTGCTTTCCTCTCTGGTCTTTTTTCTTTTTTTTCCTTCCTTCACTTTCGTGCTTGTCTGAACATTTGCCCTTTGACTCTCTTGACTGTTCCCTCCCCCTTCTTCTTTATTGCCCTGAGTAATCACTCTTTTCCCATAACTCTAATCATTCTTTTCATATTCTTATCTGGTGAAGGACAAGGAAATTGCAAGCAGAGCATGAACCTAATATCAGGTAATTCAACACTGCATCCTGATCAACCTCAAGAATCCCAAAAAATGAGGATGTTTGCCTGATCACTGAAAGGAGGAGTTATTTTTATTTTTTAGCATAATTTCTGGTTAAACCACTTGGCTCAAGAAGAGAACAAGCTAGTTGTTTTCCATCCTGGAGTGGATTTGTGACCTGACTTCACCATGGTTTCCTGCCGCGTCCGTAACCTCAGGGCGCTGATTATCATTGTGTGTGGGCTGCTGTTCATGATCATCACGGGACTGGTCATCTGGAGGGCTGTGATCAGGATCCAGAGAGGTAATGTTGTCCTACATTTAACTTTGCGTGACAGGAGGAATTGCACCTCTGTCCCTGCCACCAACACACCAGTACTGGAAAGTGCCTCATCTAAGCTGAGGTTGCCCACCAAGATGCCATTTATTAAATATAAAAGACAAAAGTCTATCGATGGCTGGCATATGGTTGTACCATATATGAATACAAGTGTGTGAATCGGCAGGGTGGAGAATGACATGGCTGAGTTGACTTCCTTATACTCTTCTAACTCCTGACAGAATTATCGCAGAGTAATAATTAAAATAATAATACAGACTCGGGTTTGTTTAGCCAAATTCGAAAAGATAAATAGTAAGGGACACACGCACATGTACACATACCCTAAACATGTGCGGAATGGAACTTCATTTCAAGAAAGAGCGTAGGTATGTTATCACTAGAGTTGTGAATCAAATGACCATGTGGTACTCACATAAAATTCCCACTTTTCAGGTGTAGAAAACCACTCAAAAATTGAGGTAATTTAAAAAATGATTTTTCCAGTTATTCAGTAAATATTTATTAAGCACCTGCTGTGTTGCAGAGCTGGCCCTGGGTTAAAGGGGGATGGGGAGGGGTGATGGTGCGTAAAAAAGGCCCTCTCTCAGAAACTCACAACAGAGACTTTCAACAATTGTAATAGTGGTTTCCTTGGGCTATGGAGGTATTAAATAAAGAAAGGAATTCATAGTTGAGTGTGCTGAAGACTCCCTTTTGTAAAAAAAAAAAAAAAAAAGAGGAAGTTTCTAACGAAGCTGAGTAAATAAGGTTAAAGAATGCCGATCAAGACAGGGCAACAGGAAAGTCAGTCTGTGTGTCTGTGGAAGACAGAAGGTTGGGGGGGCTAGCAGGAGCAATGCATGCTGCAAAGATCCGCTATTGAGGACAAAAGAGGTCGCCTGTATTGGCCGTTGTTCCCAAAGAACAGTATTTAGAGAGTACTGTATTAACCGTAGGAGTCCCTGGGAGGTGCATGTAGTTAACGCGCTTGCCTGTCAACCTAAAGATTGGAGGTTTGAGTCCACAGGTGCCTCAGACGAAAGGCCTGGTAATCTACTTCCAAAAAATCAACCATTGACAACCCCACGGAGCACAGTTCTAGTTGGTAAATCCTTTTCATTTCCACTTCATTCCCTTCCATTCACTCCAACCCACATAGGGATGAGGTTGTAATGAGTTGGAATTGACTTGAAGGTAAACTGTTTTGTTTCGCTTTTGGTATTAAGAGTATTTAAAGAACAGCATGAGAAAATTTTACCAGAACAAAAGCAAATACAATTTAAACATGGGAAAGTGTTTTTGTTTGTTTGTTCAAGGTTTGTAAAATAGTTTGAAATTTAAAAACAATTATGAACTATAGATCTCACCCTGGAAGGCTGCTGAATTTATTATAACGTAACCAGTTACTGTCGAGTTGATTCCTACTCATGGCGACCCCATGTGTGTCAGAGTAGAATTGTACTCCATAGGTTTTTCAATGGCTGATTTTTCAGAAGTAGATCGCCAGGCCTTTCTTTTGAGGTACCTCTGGGTGGACTCGAATTGCCAACCTTTCAGTTAGCAACTGAGCGTGCTGTTTACAAGATCTTATTTAAATAGTATACTTCTAAGATGCCTTCCCTTCCTTCCTTTCTTTTTCCTTTTTTCCTTCCTACGACATCTACTTTTTCTTATTGTGGTATATATATATAAAGCAAAACATTTGCCATTTTAATTTTTTTTAAAGTACAATTCAGTGATGTTAATTATGTTCTTCATGTGCAACCATCACCACTATCCTTTTCCAAGTTTTTCCATCATCCCTAACAGAAGATCAGTGTCCCCTAAACAAAGATTTCTCTTTTCCCCTCCCCTCTGCCCCTGGTAACCACTAATAAACTTTGGTCTCTACACATTTGCCGAATTCTAGATATTTCCTATGAGTGGGATCATGCAATATTTGTTCTTTTGTGACAGACTTGTTTCACTAAGCATAATGTTTTCAAGGTTCAGCCATGTTGTAGCATGTATCAAGACTTCATTTCTCTTTATGGTTGAGTAATTATCCGATATCTACTTTTAAAAGGAAGTCTGTGGTAACACAAAGGACACAGGTACAATGGAACCATTAAAACAAGGACCAAAGTACAAAAACAAAATAAGGAAGAGAGCAGAAATATATGGGGGATAGCACTTATATGAAAGTCATAGGCTAGGGGGAATTTCTACAAATAAATGCAACATGTATCCCCGAGCTTCCTGCAGGCTAAGACCCAAAGGGAAGCATAATAAGTAGCAAAGATCTCTTCTATAACAGTAGAAGCAGACCAGGTCCTTAGCAAACACAGACTTTCCCCTTGCTCTGAGCATAATTTGCAATTGTTTATATAGCTCTTTATCCAACGGAATCCCTCAGCTTTTGAGTAAACCAAGTGAAAAGGGAAAGAGTTATCATTATCATTTGAAAGAAAAAGATTGAAATGCTGGTACTGTTTGCCTTGCACATTTTATTCAGGGTGAGTTTTAGTTGGTAAATCCTTCTCATTCCACTTCATTCCCTTCCATTCACTCCAACCCACTCTACTCCACCTATTTCCTTTCTATTCTGTTCATTCTGTTCCATTCTATCCCATTCTATGTAATTATTGAATGTTCTCGCTTTGGTCCCTTTACCTGAGTATAAATTGTTTTAAAATTTGTTTTTTGAGGGCAGTCATGGATATCTCTGGTAAACTGATAAAAACTATGAATGCTTTTCTCAGAAAAAAATTGCATAAACACATACATGTAAAATTTGGGGTAAATTTATTTTACTGCATTTGAAATTTACTTTGTAAACTGAAATGGAATATAAAAGCAATATTTACAATGAATTATGTCTTTCTCACTTTTATTTTTTTAAAAAAAATAATGGCCTCTTCCTGAATAAATAGAAAAAAACTCTACTCAGAGTAAATTTCAATGAGAAGTTACCAGCGTTTGGCTGGAGAGTGTGATTATTATCTACCTAAAATTTAAAACATTCTTACTATGTTCTAGGTGGAGCCTTGGTGGCGCAGTGTTTAAGAGCTCAGCTGCTAACCAAAAGGTCGGCAGTTTGAATCCACCAGCCGCTTCTTGGAAACCCTATGGGGGCAGTTCTACTCTGTCCCTAGTGTTGTTATGAATCAAAATCGAGTTCATGGCAACGGGTTTGGTTTGGTTTGATTTGGTTTTATATTCTAGGCACTATGTTAAAAACATCATATGCCTTATCTCATTTAATCCTTGAAGCAGATATTATTGTCTCCATGTTACAGATAGGGAAATTGAAGCTTAAAGACCATTTTCCCTAAAGGGAAGGCAATGGTAACTCAATCAATTAATTCATCTTTCCTTTTTGAGGTAACAATGGCCGAAAACTGTAATTTACAAAGATATGTGGCAGCCAATAGACACAAAGCATGCTGTGGTTTTGCCAGGCAGTTAGGCTTCTTTGAGAAGCCAGTTGTTTCTTTTGTTTCAGGTCAATGAGATCTACATTATTAATGCTGTCTGTAAGAGTGTAGATTCACATTTGTCCTTCAATTTTAAGTTTTTTGGAGTCTTCAAATGGTGTCTATAGATTTTTTGGAGTCTTCAAGTGGTGTCTATAGATTTTTTGGAGTCTTCAAATGGTGTCTATAGATTTTTGGCTGTGGAGTAACTGCCAAGTCTTTTCCGCCTTCTAGGACGTTGCGCAAAAGCACTTTCTCTAGCTTTGCAAAGTTACGTTGTTGTCTGTCTTTATACAGTTGTTTGTCTAGTCCAGAACAGCAAAATAGACTGCCTTTCCAGGAAATATTCTTCCTGGTGATTGCCTTTAATTGAAAGTTTTCTGACATTGACATAATCCCAAACATATCAATCATATCAGCCATGAATGAGTTCATATCTTTCTAACTATGCTAAAAGCAGGCTTTCCTTTTTATTATTGTTTTTAATAAATTGTTGGTTTAAATATCAAGAAGCCCTGGTGGCGAAGTGGTTAAAAGCTCAGCTTCTAACGAAAAGGTCAGCAGTTCGAATCCACCATCCGCTCCTTGGAAACTCTATGAGGCAATTCTACTCTGTCCTGTAGTGTCACTATGAACACTGTAAGTCAGAATCGACTCGACTCCAACGGGTTTGGTTTAAAAATCAAACAAGTGCTTCAAGATGTGGTCTCTAAAATGCCAGTGATTTTTTTGTGTAGTAGAGAAAAACTTTTTATTCTGCTCCTATTTCTTAATAAGGCCCCTTATAAAAGTCACAGTTCAAGTCTCTGGCTGTGATGAAGTTGACAGCATTTCATGCGACTAGACAAGACTACTTTCAGGATTGCTGGAAGTCTCTGACATTTTTATATGTGGATGATGAAAATGGTAAGAAATAATGATCTTTTTCACCAAAGTAGCACAATCAGATACATTGCCAAGGGTAACACTTTCTCCATCTTTGTTCCCAGTAACGTGATTTTTTTCTTTTTGCTTAGCAAAGAATTTTTTCAAAACTATTAATGACCTTTGTAATTTCCAAAAGAGCCCGTGACTTCTTTGACAGTATCCTTTTGCCTGGAATACTCTTCACACAGAGCTTCACATGGCCATTTCCTTCTTTGATGGTTTAGGCCTTAGGTTAATGTCACCTCCTCAGAGAGACATTTCCTAGTCACCCGGTCTAAGATTATCATCCTTTTTGACTCCCACATTTACTTTCTTCATGGTTCTTATCACCTGAAAATTTCTTACTTGTTTATTGGTTTATTGTCGGTTTCTCCACTTCTAGAATAAAAGCTCTCAGAGAACAGAGTCCTGACTTAACTTGTATTCTGTACACCTGGAACAATACTTGTAGTTGCCGATACATAGCTGATGAGTAAATGAAAGAATCACATGAAAATCAGAAACAGACTAAGAGTTGCCAAATAGTTTTATCAGAAGTAAAATAATGTCGCAACCCAATCCTCATAATTTACTTCAAATTATTAGAAGGAATGCAATTCT